GGTGGATAGCCGCGAAAATGCTGCGAAATCGCGATCAACGATCGCCGCGTAACCTACAGCCAAAGTCGAGGAAAATCCCTTCCCCGATAGAAGGGAAAAAGAAATGGAGGTTTTTAGTCGGGTTCTTTGACGTTTTGTTCGCAAAGGCTGAAGAAAACGCGCCTCTTTTCAACGGCGGAACGAAGAAGTCGCAAATTCATGCGAAGAAAGGAAATATCTTGGCGTACTGAATAGTACGGTCTACGAGTCCTCTTATTTCAGGCCGTACGAGAGATTACTTTGATGCGACTCTTTCATCCAGCTTCTTTCCAGTCCACGCTTTTTTCCCGCGATTAGTTTCTACCGTAAGTGTGCGAATGCATGGACTTTCACTCCTGTTTCCTTTTTCTAATCGAATTAAAAAAAATTATACTTTAAGATGATCTCTCCGTTTTATATACCCCAGACGTGCCCCATTTTCCTTTCCCCGGCACACGTGACCACTTATGAACCGCGCGATTATAGAAATAAATATAATGGAGCGATATTAATGTACCCCGATGTTCGTCGAAAAGAGCTAGTTCCAAAAGCGTGCAGTCATCGTGTGTCCGCGAAATTCGCTGCTCTAAATCCGAGTTCCAAGGACGTATCGAGTCGAACGTAGGTCATGGAAGAGTGCAGGCGTCCAGAAGCATGTCTTAGGGACAATGAAGGAACCCGTTTGTTTGATCGTGCCACGACTCGCTTATCCTTTCGTCTTTTTTCTCCTCCTGGTTATCCTTCCTTCCGCCAGAGAGAGCCATCGACACATTCCTAACGCGTATCGTTCGCGTAGGTGTACACGGTGGAACATTGTGGTTAGGTGTCCCGCGTAATCGAATGCGCTGATTTTCAATGATTAGCCGCGGGGAGTCCGGTCGATTCTCGCGCGATTAAGCCGAAGAGCAAAACGGCTGACTGGGACGTGCAAAACGCCTCGCTCTACGCATAAGCAAGATTACATCAACCGTATCTCGGATTTCTGCTTTCTTTCGTACGATTTCGTGCCAATGCGACCGAACGAACAAGCGCTCGCCTCGTGCGACCGTCCGCTACGTGACCGCCGCAGTAGTTTCCTTTTCCGAGCGTGAAATCCAATGAAACGTAAGTAATTTCGTTTGCACAGTTGCCAGCCTATGATATCTGCTGCTGGCTGGCCTATACGCCGATATAAGCTCGCGGGGAACGATCCGAAGAAAACCTCGGCTCCTCTACCTCTCTGCTCGCTAATTTTGTATCTTCCACGTATCCGTGGCGAGCCGCGTCTATATTCGGCATACACGCTCGCCAAAGATGCACGAATTATCATGGAATGATTCTGGACTTATCGCCGCGGAATATACGATGAATACGACGGAACTTCGTCGATATCGTTCCTATCGAAAACGACATCTGCATAGGGATAGAATTCGAGAAACAAAAGAGTCTCCGATGTCAAAGACCGAGAGAGAGATACGAGTTATTTTAAAATGCAATCGGTATAATAAGAGAATATAATCGGAAGATAGGAGGAGGTCGGAGACGAGTGCGTTATCTATTTTTCTCTTTGCAATTAGAAGTGTAAATAACAAAGGTAGTGGGATTATTAATAGACGTTAAATAATATCGATCCAATGCATGAGATTATAATGGTCGTAGTTCAACGAATAATCAAAAAGTTGTACATATTTAAACGGCATATGAACCAAGTTCATTAGAGAGTAGATACGTTCCTGGGTCGTACGATGGCAAAGCGTCGGTGGTGGGGAACAAGAGGGACAGGAGAGGGTTGTGGAGTTTCAGAAAAGAAACTGCCGGCTGAGCTGGAAACGAACGCGCGGTAAGGTGAAGGGGGACACGATAGCACGCCATTTGAAATCACCGCGACTGCATGTGTTACTATGCTACGGTGCCGCCCTCGTCGGTGATCAAGGAAACGATGATGAACCGCGTTATCGGACACCGTGATTTGCCTTCGAAGAGGGCGACCACATCGCCCTACATTTCTTGACGCAGTCGGTACAGTTAATGATTCGCAAATTGCGTTAAGAAAAAGAACTAACGATATCTCGATTATCGTAATACCACAATTGTTAAAGACAACATTTAAAGACTAACTTATGCATTTTCTCGAACCGTTTCGATTTCTTTCGTAAATTTTTAAGAAATTTATTCTATCGAATTCAATTGCGACTCGTGATTTCTTTTGGATCTACGTATGACACGAACAATCGTGAGGTATGCCTCCTTGAAATTTGGAGACGACTACGGTAATATTTATACTCGAAAATATTGAAAAAAAACTCACCTTTACATTTGACCCCCACTCTTCCAGTGCCCCAAACATAATCTTCACCTGTAACAATGAATAACGAGATAAATACGATTGCAACAAAAAAAAAGAACACAACTTACAGTGTAAGGCGATACTTACAATGCTTACAAAGGATAGGGGTTAAAAAATATATATCTATGAGGACGTGATTACTCTTGGGTTCTGTATTAACGGACTCGGCTACATATACTGTAACAATGACGACGACAAATTAGTAGATATTTTCGACACGTTACATTCGTTATAAGATGTTAAATACCGTATGGCCCATTGCTGAGGGTTACATAAGACGACTCTTCTTCATTATGAGTGTCTAAGTACGGTGATAAGTTTCCTTTCAGCATTAGGACTTCCTCGCGTGTACCCTTACCGTCTGAAAATAGAACGACAGATTTAAAAATTTGATCTCGTAAATTAAAATTTTGAAATTAAATTCGAAAGAATTTCGTACCGGTACAAAGAGTTCTTATTGGTTCTTCCGTTGCTCACGCAAGCACAAGCACCGTTTCTCTTTCCTCCAAAATGGATCGTTATCCGAAATTTATTAAGAAACGATCACATTAACATATTATTTTCTCCATGGAAAAATATATTAGAGTTAACTCATTTGTCAGTCATACATGGTATGTAAACGTGAGTAATTTTGCACAACACTATAATCACAGAACATAATCTCTTCTGACCGTTGTGCATCCTCCTCTTAGACTTAAAACATTTTTACTCCACTTTAGTTATACCGCAAATTGTGTCAGAACAGATTCTTATTCGATAATCGATGTACACTATTTAAAAATATTTGTAACAGTTTGAGCATCGTTTAAAAAGTGATTTTTATCGTTTCATTAATTTGATTCTTTTGTTGATTATATCAAACGGCACCAGAATTATTAAAAACTTACAGTAACTCTCATTTAAGGCTACTCGCGTGTATACATAGAATTATATTTTAAAATCTTGTTTGATAAATATATATATATATATATAATATATATGAGTGTGTATATATAATTA